GTATGTATATGACATGTAATAATGCCATTTTACATAAACAGAATTTTAAATAAACATCATAGTGATAGTAACACTACATACCTGATCAACGGAGAGATCATAGGAGTTCCTCTACTAACTGGAAATTCCACTGGCGGATATAAATTAGCAATTTGTGGCTGCAAGCCACAGTTATAGAGTTTCCCAATTCCTCGTAGAATTACCTCTGTATCTTGTCTAGTGTGTTGTGTTAACATGATATTTGTTACTTCTGCATGTAAAACCTCATTTAAAATGTCCTGCAGAATGCTGTCGGGTCCAATTTCAATAGTAATAGCGTTATTTTGAATTAGATGCGTTGCTTGTTCAAAAAGGACAGTACTTAATATACTATTCGTATGATATTCCGCCGACGATAATTTTGATGCTGAGGTGGACCAATCGGTGCGATGTATAGAAGTACTAATCCATTTTGAGCTTCGTTGCTTCGGCTGCGGTATTATTTTGTTCAGTTTAAGCAACAGCTGAGTTTGCACGGAAGAAATGTAGGGACTATGATACGGTATATTACAACAGATTTCCTTCACTTTGATATTATTATTCTGAAAATATAAAAATTTATTAATATAAAAATTTATTAATATACGTAAAGTTAAAATAAAGTTTTCAAGTCCTATAAAAAGAATTTAATATTTTATTCCTATACATTTATTCATTGTAAAAATTTATTAATTATACCCGTAGGCTTGTTATGAATTTTTGAATTGATTTTGCGGGTCCGCTCACAACATTATTGTATGGATTATTACGACATATTATGTCAATATCCGTGGGACATATATTTTTCAGATATTCATAATCAAGATTGATGACTGCCATAGAGCAACGAATTATTTTTTTATCTGTACACGCCACACCAATAAAATAGGCTGATAGTATAGTTTGTTCCATGGTAAGACATTTATCAGCGTACGCGCAACCGAGTTCACCAGCGGAATGGCCGATCACATAATCCGCAATAATTCCTAAAGATGTTAGGAGATCTACT